TGGTGTAGGGTTTCCTGCCTAAGCAGGGGGTTGGATTAGAAAACCTCCAAGGTCCCTTCCAACTCTGTTATTCTATTCTATTGAAGAAACATAAGGAGAAATTTCTGGACAGTGAGAACAATTAATCAGTAGAACAGCTTGCTTTCAGAAGTTGTGAGTGCTCCATCACTGGAGGTTTTAAGAAGAGATTGGACAACTATTTTTCTGAAATGATATATGGTCATCTGCTTGGCCAGGGAGTTGGATTAGAAGACCTCCAAAGTCCCTTCAACTCTGTTATTCTGATACTCCCGTTGTAATCAACTTAGTTTTATGTTTCTTCTGATACATTCAACTCTTATTTCATTTAATAAACTGAACGTAGACATTTTTGGAACATTTTTGGAAGTGTCATATTACTCGTTATCTTTCTACCAACATTTGCATCTATTAAATGTTTTCCATTCATTTCGCATCTTTAGTAAACATTCTATTAAGATACTCAAAATGACGTTCTTGCTTATTGTTCCAAGTGTATGACTTCACTCACTGTTTTCTGTCACTTTGCTGTTTGATAATTTTCTTTTCACATCTTTACTTACCATTACACTTAATGAATCTAATACTGTTCATTACATACTACATTATATATTCTTAATACATCTAACAAATCTAATAATCTAACAAAGGCTTCAAATCATTCAAGTTTTCAGCAATGAAATTGTCAGCATATAAAAAGACCTACACATCCGTGTTCTTAATAACATGACCAATATTTCTTATACATTTATCCATGAATACTTTAAAAAGCTAGGTATTTGCATATCCTTTCTTACTCCTGGCTCACTATTGAATATTCATATAGCATTCTATTTACTGTCACACATGCTTTAGTTCCATGGTATATCTTTCTTACAAGGAGCAACTAATCTGCAATTCCAGGTTTATACAAAATATTCCATACTTCAAATCTATTCACTTTATCATAAGACCTCTCCAAATTTCTCAGTGATCTATTGAGGAGCAACATGGTCTTTAATTCCAAGAAAAATTAAACGGCATTGCATTTTCCAAAATTTGCTTATAGTAATTTCTTGTATCCTTTGGATCAGAATTTTGCCCAAACACTTCCCAGATATGGTTGGTAAATTATTCCCAATGGATTCCCGTATTCATTGCTGTCAACTGTCAGACGCAGATGGTTTCTTAATATACACATTGATTGAATTACACAGTCACTTGTACAAATCATACCCACATTTTTCAGTTCCATCATTTATATCTGCGGTTTTATTATTTTTCAAAATTCTCAAAGCATTTATAATTTCCTTTTCATCATTTTTTCCCCTTGGAAATTAAGAAAATAAGATTCTATTTCAATTCTGCTTAGTTCCCAGGAAGCTCCTTATTTAGCCCTTTTGCTAACTTCCAAAACAATTTGGGATTGCTTTGAAACAATATTTGGAAGTGGGATTTTTAACAAGAATTTTTATAGACATGTAAATTTTGCATGCAATGTTCCTTAATATACAACTGTTGTATGCAGTTTTTCATACCACTTTTTAAACTCAAAAGGATTTTTTAAAAAATCCAGATAAGTATAAAAATTGAGAAATGACTGAATTCTGATTCACTTCTAAATGTATTAGTTTATATCAAAACATTAATTAAACAAATTTATAATTCTTGCTTTATAACTATGTATCTTGCTCTAAATCATTTCATTCACATCCTTTTTCATCCAACTATTGTTCTGCCCAACTCATGCCCCATATCAACATGTTCCTTATAATAAGAAATAGAGTGCATTCAGAAAGTAGTCCCATCACTTCTGTCAATTTTGTTATGCTGCAGCTGGATTCTACAGTTGTTGAAATGTATTTATTTTTTCATTAATCTACATTCAATGCCCCATAATGACAAACATCCCTGGGTGAGGCGGATCCCCATCCACATGGAAGATCAAGCTGAGAATTGTCTGAATCTTATTTTTTTTTGTTTGAAAAAGGGAAGCAGGAATTTTATTAATGAAATTTTAAGGGGAGGGGAAAATATGCACTATAAACATTATTGGTAGGAGGTTTTTTTTAAGTCTGACATCACTCTTTTTTTTAAAAGTACGCATTATTTCCAACTGGGAAGAAAAGGGATGAAAGTGACACAGTTATGGAAAACAGTGTTACATTAATGAAACAAAGTTTGCATTCATCTGCAATTCACAGTTGTAAAAAATATAGGTCCATATCAGCTGAGGAAACAAACTCCATAGGCAATATCAGCAACAAAGATCAGAGATGTAAGAGCAAAAGAAAACGTTATCTGAAGATCTTTTAAAATGTGTGTATTTCATCCATTGCAATATGAGTATCTCAGCCATTCCATATAAACAAATCTCCACAACTGTATAGGAAAAGTCATAAGTTGAAATCAGCTGGGTAGCAAAAATTCAGACCATAAGAAAAAATAAAAGCAACATTAGGAATTAGAAATGCAGGAGCCAAAAATTGTTTCTATTTTCATGATACACAATTGAGAACATATGTAGTTCAGGGCTGAACTGTGAAGTCCCCAATGCCTTCTGAGCGTATTGCTTGCAAATATTTCATTATTTTACTAGGTAAAATGATCAGTACTAATCATCATCACTGATGATGTTGCCTAGTTGCCTAGTTGGGTAATGAAATGTCTTCAAGCAAACAACCAAGCTCAGAGAACACCAAGGGCTCCACAATACAATTTCCCTTTTTGTGATATTTCTTTGATACAGAATATAATGTAAAATAACTATACAAGCTGTGTATCTTTATGACTTTAAAAACCTTATTAAAACAAATGTTAAGATTCTTTTCCAATTTTAGTAAACTAGGTAGGGAACAAACAATTCACAAGCATATTTCCATTAGATGCAATTCTACCTTCTCAAGCTAGAAATCTACAAAATAAAATTGGACAGGTGTTTTAGAAGTTCACTAAATCAACTCTTAAGGAAATTAATATGTTTTATTTTTGTTTAATTAATGAAATTATATTAATCATAATTAGCACTGAATACCACTTTCAGTAGTTGCTTCTTTCTGCTCCGGTTTTTCTTCCTTTATCTGTTCTTTGCTTACATTTTTCTTTCGTTTTTTCATTTGGTCAATTAAAAGCTGAAATTCAGCTTTGTGTTTCTTTCCTGAAAAATTTAAAAGAAATGTGTAAAGAAGATCCTTACCATGTGAATAAATGTATAACAAATTACTGATTTTATTTAAATTTTTGACATATTTTCATTGAAACTGAAGTAATTTAAACACAGCTTTAAAATAAAATAAAGAAAATGTTAGGAAATATTTTGCTATTGTTGTAAACAAATAGTACTTATCCTTTCTTTTTGATGTACCACAAATGGTTAACATGGTTAAACTGGGACGGTTAAAATATGTTTATTTGGCCAGTAATTTTAGTAGGAATTATTGCTAGAATAGTATAAAGAAATAGAAATACTGTATGCTCTGTTCTGAACATAGAGAAAGATGTACCAGACCACCAGAACTGATGAAAATTGAACACACATTGAACAAGAAACATGTTGCTCAGCCAAACTTTGCTTATTATGGTATTGTAAGGTTCTATGTATAATTCTATTTTGTCAGACTTCTGGCAAACATTGTTATCATCCACAACTTTCTCCAATAAGTATGTCTTTTCATGTTGTTTCAATTTCATTTACCTCCTAGACTGGCCACATTTTCACTCACTGTCAATTAGTAGAACTATTCCTCCTGTTTGCATGGTAATTAAAATGTATTAATTGCATAATGCATTGATGCTATTATGTTTTAAGTCTAAGAAGGCAACAAGACAAGAAAGCATGTCTTAATAAAATATGTTACATCAAACCATTCAATATGCATCTTGTACAGTTCTGTCAGGAATCTAGTTCTAAAAATACAAAGACTATAAATTGCCAATGAGATGACAATTGCTTTGAATACAAAGCTGTGATACATAGCCAGGATGAAAAAAATGCAAGAATGCAAGAAAGCAAGCCTTAATAAAATATGTTTCATCAAATCATTCAACATGCATCTTGTACAATTCTGTCAGGAATCTAGTTCTAAAAACACAAATCACCAATGAGACAATTGCTTTGAAGATTCTGATATATAACCAGGATGGGGGGGAAATCTGGCATTACCAGTTTAAATGCAAAATTATGTGCACTGGAATAAAATTGGATTGGATTACTTTCTTCATATATATGTACAACAATCCTATAAGAGAGATAGACAGTTATAGAAGGATTGACAGAATTGTTTAGGAATTAGTTCCTCTAGACCAGAAGAACTAATTTGATTTGTCAGCCTTATATTTTTCAAATCTCACCATTTTTCACTCAAATAACAGGTCTTCTAAGCATTGAAAAGGCAGATCCTATTTCACAAAGTTGTTGCACTTTATGGCTTCAGAACAGAATATTGAACTATTTCAAGTTATGGTGGGCATTAATAGATGAGAAGAATTTTGAGGTGTAGCATCCAGCCTTTGCAGTTTTATCTCTAAGGAATTATGCCTTATGTTAAACCAGATCAAATTTCAGAGCAAAGCAAATTTCAATGCATTTAATGTTTTTAAACATTCTTGTTTTTAGTCCTGCAGAGGTTTTTCTGCTACACATTTCTTGAGCAATATTTTTTGAAAAATAAGACAGAAAATAATTATCCTTTTCAAATATTTAGTCTCAAAGAAAAAAACCCAAAGAGGAAAGAAAAATTTCTACCATGATCTGGAAATATATCTGGCTCTACCATTTTTCTTTGCTATTTTAAGATTTAAAAAGAGGGTTATTTTTGTTTTTATAGAGTAGATAATTTATCACTCAGATAGTCCTGAAAGCTTTCTGGGCTGTGCACTAAGTAACAAATTACAAGACTGCTGTAAAAAAATAATGTATATACGAAGACATCTTCCAAGATGTTTAATCCATATATTCCATATAGGTAATCCTCAATTTACAATTAGTAGCTTATCGATCATTCAAAGCTACAATAGAACTCTACCAGTTGCAAATTTATGGCCACTGCAGCACTCCCACAGTGAATAAACTCAGGCACTTGGCAATCTGCCTACTTTTAAGAGTGACTGCAGAAGTTCTTCAGCAGCCTCCCACATACCTCTTTCCCATAACCCCAGGTTCCCACAGGCCTTGGACCTTCTTCCCAGCCTGCTGGGCCCCACACCTTCATCACCACTCTGATCAGTCTTCATCTTTTACAACAGATCTCCTTCTGGAAACTCTGGAGATGACTTTCGGAAATGAGTGTAAGCTGTTCCAGCCCACGGCATCCCTAGGTTGTGTGGTGCCATTCCGGGAGAGGCCACAGGGATGCTGAGGGGCAGAGTGGCTTGCTCTCTTTCCCCAACATAATCTCCAGAGGTTCCAGAAAGAGATCTACAGAAGTTAAGTATCAATCAATGATGGAGAGTGAGGAGGAGGGTTGAGACACAGAAGGTGGGAAACCAAGGTCAGTGGGGACATGGGGGGAGTGGAGCACGGGTTGTCTTCAGGAATAGGGGAGGCTTGGGATAAGTTGACCTGGTGTGCACTGGGCCTCCCAGGACTTCCCCCCACCTGAGGCACCCTCTGGTTGGCTTAACAACTATACTTACAAGAGCAGCAGGAGGGGGGAATCATTATGCGAAGTAATCAAATGGGACTGTCTCTTAATGACTATCACAATGTGTGACTGAAATAGGCAGGCTCCATTTGGCAGTTCAAATCCCACCAGGCTCAAAGTTGACTCAGCCTTCCATCCTTCCAAGGTAGATAAAATGAGGACCCAGATTGTTGAGGGCAATATGCTATTCAATTTAGAGAGGCTGTAAAGCACTGTAAAGTGGTATATACTGTAAGTCTAAGTGCTATTGCTATTAGGATTGTAAATTGAGGACTATCTGTATATCCATGATATTTCTTTATTGAAATAGCATATCCATCTTGTTTGCCTTTAACATTTCAAGGCACAAATCTAAATCTTTAACTGCTTGTCACCAAAAACACTTTATGAGCCATAAATATCTTGTCAAAAACAGGTATTACTAAAGGGAGATATGGTTTTAAAATATAAATATGTCTACTATTTCATGCACAATAGAAGAAATATATCGTTTCATAGATAAATGAAGGAAAATAAAGGGAAATTATTAAAATAGTTTTATGTGAATAATTTCTGGGGCTTTGGTGATTCAAAACATTCTTAGCAATTATCTATCATCTCCATTAGTGAAGTAGTTACTGCATGTAATTTTCTTCTTGTGTCCTGTAAAAATAATGTTCCTTGTCTTCGGGTTTTCCTATCTCCTTTTGAAATGGTTTTTAAAAATGGATAAGCAGTTTATCCCTTCTAGTATCTATTTTTTAAAAATCTCACCAAAACACAATAAATAGGTATTAAACAACAAGGAAGAGGTATTTGCAAGTCTCAAGACACAAACTTCCTACCACTATTTTTAATTGTCTGATCAATTGGGGCCAGGCTTTTTGAAATCCTTTCTCTGTTCATTAAGTGACTGCGGGTTCCTCTCGCTCCTGTCTAATTGTCCCCTAAGCAGCATATCTTTCTGTTCTCGCCCAAGGTCATTCACACATTCCATTACATCAAATTGAAAAGGTTGTGTAGGGTTTCTTTCCTGTGACTATTCAACAACAGGAAAAAGCAACAGACAATTCTGCTAAATAAAAAGGTTATCTGAGAATACTATCAGATTAACCATCATCCATACAAAATGTATTAATATATGTCTGTGTTCCACAGACTTCTAGACAGCTTCAGGAGTTTAATGATCAATTTGCATTTGTAACTAATTCCTACAAATATGTCCTTAATTCTTCTCTCTTATTCCATCAGCAAGCTGAAATAAGCTAATTATAAGACCTTTCCCCTGACCCCTGTGGTCAATTAATACAGCATTATATCATAAAGCTGCTCAGATTCCATCAAGCCTGGATTCTTTGTGGTAAGGATTAGATGCTTTCTAGAATGTCTTCTGCCACTTATGGCCTGGATCTTTTCCCTTCCTGTTTTCTTTGTGGAACCTGGAATTTCAAGTAATTCAAGTGATTCCCAATCTAGCAGGCTGTTAATAACTCCTTGCGGGAGGGTGTTGCTGGCAGCTTTAAGGGAGATTGTAGTGCATTTTTTTTCCCTTAAGCCCTTCCAGGACCTCTGGATGTTATATTACTACTGTCCAGTCTCCAACCTTTTTCCAAGAGAGGATGTTGAGGAATCAACTACAAAGTGATCTAGATGAAGCAGATTATTTGGATATGTGTCAATTAAGTTTGGACATTGGATGGAGACAGCTTTGTCTGAGCAAGAGGATGCTTTTTGTTGGGCTCTATATAGTGTAGTGTACCTGTCCTGATCCTTTTAGACTTCTCAGCAGCCTTCAATAGTATTCTGTACTGATTTCAAGTATTGTGGAGTAGAGATAGTATTTTGCAGTGCTTCCATTCCTTCCACAATGTAAGTTCCAATAAGTGGCAGTAGGACAGGAGACCTCAGCTTGGTGGTTGCTCCCTTGTGTGGGGTACCACAAGAATCAATCTTCTACATAAAGAGATTATCTATCAATTCAAGGGTCAGTATCATCAGTATGTTTCATATATATCTGTGTCTTGGGCCTGGCTGGTGTCTACAGGCTGGATGGGAGAGAATAGACTAAAACTGAATCCTAGCAAACACAGAATTATTGTTTGTCCATTGAGGTGTTTGAATAGTCTCCCAGTGTCTTACGTGTCCTGACCCAGTCCAAGTATGTACAAACAACAAAGATGTTAATTGTAAACTTTACTGATAGGTCTGTAAAATAA